TCTTAATCAGATTAAAGATAGATGTCTTCTTCTTTATAATTTCAGAAATAGTCTTGTAACTACAGTTAAATGAGAACTGAGTTTCAGTGATCTTTTTCTCACAGAAGATGTAACTTATAAAGATCAACTATAACATTCATGATCAGAAGCTTCTTATAATAGTGAAATTCTTCTATCACTGATATCACTACTTTAAGAACCTTGCAACAGTAATTACTGTTAAAACTGATTATAACAGCTTATAATAGTTTACTTTAATTAAGAAACTCTCACAGTAGCAGATTCACTGAGCTCAGAGACTAAGTAAGTTCTGATTTAAGATAGAACATATTAAGAGAACTAAGAACTCAGTGAATGAACTCTCTCACAGATCAGACTATGTTAAGAAGATCAGAGTGACAGATATAGAGAGATTAGAGAAGATAGAAAAGCTTCACAGAATGCTTGAACTAAGTGTTATAAAGAGATTAACTGAAGAGTCTCTCAATCTCTCATAAGAGAAGAGAGAGAAGAGAGAGAAGAAGTCTGTATAACTACTCTCTATAATACTGAGAGTTAACACTCTGAGAATCTCTGTGAGAATTCTTGAAGAGAGTATCTATAATCTGAAGAGTTTGCAGACTTTGAGAAGTATTGCAGAAGATCTGATATAAGAGAAAATAGAGTATAAGTCTTTATAAGATCTTCTATTCAGATTATCTGAACTACAACTGAAGAATAAATATACTCAGTATATTCAGAAACTGCTCACAGCAGAGATCAATTCTACAGAAATAAAGAATTAAAGAGACTTAAATAATCTCTTATGAAGAGAGAGCTGAATTTATATATCTGTAAATAAGTTTCTATGTATAGAACTTATTAAAAGATATCATGACTCTTCTCTAGCAGGTCATTTTATAGATACTAGAACTTATAAGTTACTTATAAGAAAATACTTCTGACTGAAGATATAAGAACTTGTGAAGAAGATAGTAAATTCTTATACTATTTATCAGAGTTCATGAATAATACAGTTCAGACTATATAAAGAACTTACTTCTCTACTCATTCTGCAGAAATCTTGAAAACAGCTAGAAATAAATACTCTTATGAGTCTTTCTGAAAGTAAGAATATATATAATGCCTGTTTTAACAGTGTGCTGATGATAGTGAATTACTTTATCAAGATAACACACTTTATACTCATCTGCAAGAACTTGAAGTCAAAGAATTTGACTTATATCTTTATTTATAATGTAATTCAGTTGTATGAATTGCCTGTAAACATTGTCTTAGATAGAGAATTAATCTTCATAGAAGAGTTCTGATCTGATCTGATAACTATACTAAAGATCTCATGAGATCTAAGTATGACTTTTTATCAATAGATAGATGATCAGATAGAATATCTGATGAGTATATTAAAATAGTATCTACAGTACTTTGTTAATTACAATCAGAATAACTGAGTGTATTGATTATCACTCACAGAGTTTATGTATAATAACTTAAAACATGTCAGCACAGAGAAAACTCTCTTTGAGATACTCACTGAGACTCATCTGTGAATAATCTTGATAAACCTGTGAGAGTACACTATAGAGTGTGATAATACTCATGAACAGACTGAGAGAATTCAGAAGATTCAGAAGAAAGCTTATAAATTCTTAAGAAAGACTTCAGAGTATCAGAAGAGATACTATAACTTCAAGTATATTATAAAGAGTTTCAAGAAAGATGATAGAGTCTGACTAAGTCTAGAAAATATTATTATATGAAGATCTAGTAAGAAGCTGAATCTCTTACAGACAGAGTTTTATAAGATTATAAAGAAAGTTAGCTCACAGTTCTATAGATTGAAACTATTATCTGAATTATAGATATACAATATTTTTCATATCTCTTTATTCTGTAAATATAAGAAATTCTTAGAAGAGAACTCTGTGACTCATCACTCTATCTATAAAGTACTAGAGAGTGAAAGAGAATATCAGATTAAAGAGATTATTAACTCAGAGAAGTAAGATTATAAGCTCTGATTCAAGATTCAGTGATAAGAGTATTCTGATAAGATGAATAAGTTTACTTAAAAATCATTCAGATAGATAAGATATCTGCAGAAGCTGAGACATGACTTTTATACTGTGAATTTTAATAAGTTAGAATAATACAGTCTTCACTAAGAATCTGATTGTAATAAAGATATTAACACTGTTATTTATAAATTCTAGTCTATAAGATAATGAGTTTCTACTGAGATGAACAGTCTGCAGTGTATATAAGAAAAGAAGAAATCATATTCTTATTAAAGTTAAAAAATAAGAAAATAAACAGAATCATAAATACAATTTAGAGACTAATAAAGAAAAAATAAAAAAAACTCACACTCACATTCTTAACACTTATAACACTTAATCTTCTCACAACTATCAATTTCTCTCTTCAAAGAAGCAGAGAGTATCATATCTGCAGTACAGATAATTGTTACATTTAATATAAAGACTGTCAGAAATGCACAGACTTTAGAGAAGCTGAATATCAGAGTATACATAGTTGCAGCAGAACCTTGAGAACTGACTGTCTGTATATATGATCAGATATCTCTTATAAAGCTGTGTTCACTTCTTCAGTTGTGCTGAAGTATTCAGTCTGAAAATAATTAAGACACAGAGAGAGAGTTTATCTGCTCAGATTAACTTCTATTACAAATTCATGATATTTACATTGTCTTAATTATCTGAATTTTACAGATATCTGAGAACTTATCTCTCATTGACAATGAGATTGCAGAAATGCATCACAGTGTGAGAATCATTGATAGAGAATCTAGGCATATTTACATATATCTGATCAGAGATTGTGCAGACAGAGAAGAAGTGATCATAGATCTGTAAGATTACAGAAGACACTGATAACACTGAGAGCTTTATAAGAACTGTCAGCTAAAATCTGTAAGAAATTACTTATAAGAAGACTTATAGCAAAGAGAGAGACTACACTGCTTAAAGTCAGAGACTGATCTGAGAGAGACAGAGAATTAATCACTGATCTGAAGATCAGATATAGTGATAAGACTGAAAAAGATGAAGATACAGACATGAGCAGTGATGCTCCTGCTTTATCAGCTGATAAAAAGTAATTAGAGAAGTTATAGAAATACTTATAAGAAGCTCAGCAGCAGTCAGATATTATTTATAAAGATATTAAAATTGAAAAAATTTTTATTCTTAAAAAGTTCTTGAATTAATATACAGATATTATTAGAAATACTCTCTCTCTATTATCTGAGTGAAAATACTTCACAGATGAATGAGAATACTCACAGTTTATAAGAAGAAAAACTGTTATAGAAAAAGAGAAAAGAAGATGAGATTTTATAGACAGATCTGAAATATTTATACTACTCTAGAGAGATATATTTACACTGTGAGTGATTCTGCAGAACAGTTAGATCACTCTAGTAAATAAAAGTAATTATGAATTACAGATCTGAATCTCTCTATATAACTATAAAGAGTAATTGCAGATTATAGATATCTTGATTCTATAATTCTACAGAGTTGATAAAAGAATGAAAAATTCCTCACAATTCTACAGTGTTAAAGAACAATGATTTATAAGAATGAGTGAAAGATTAACTTATAAATACTTCTTTTTAATAAGAATAATCTTACAGAGAGTAATTCATCTATGAGATGAATCTGTATAATAATTACATAAGAATCTCATAGAAATGATTAAGAGTTAACTGAAACTCTTCTTATATAAAAGATATGAGATGAATCTGCATGATAGTCAGAGAAGAATCTGTAGATTATAAAGAATTTTATAAAATAAGAAACTGAGTGACAGACTCTTTTCTCTTTATAATAACAAGAAATTTTTCCTCACTGAGATTTTTATAGATATGAAGAATTTTTAGTAAGTATCACTGCAGTACTAAGCTGATTTTATAAAGTCACTCAGTGAAAGACTTTACAGATAAAGTCTTAGAGAGAGAGAAGTATATAAGAAATTTCACTTCTTATAAATTCTTTATTTCTATTTCTATCTCTTATATAATTAATAGAGCTAGCGGCTCTTGACTATATACAACTATATAGACTGAAGTTCATGAATACTATTTATAACTCAGCTTGAATGCTATTATACATTTAATCTCTATATTTTATCTTTCTACTGTGAATACTTCTAGTAGTTAACAGTACATATCATGCCAAGCTGCAAACACCTGAATAATCGCCTGTAAGTACTTATTCTTACAGTCTCTGACACTGATATCTTTATCTGCTGAGAAGTTAGTACTGCAGTACTATAGAAGAGTATGAGAAATGTATAAAATATTAACTTATTAACTTACAAAGTATCTCAGTTATTTACTTCAATTGAAGTGAGATTCTCTTTAATCAGTAATTAATCTTTACAGTGTTTTTAACAGTAGTATCAGCTGATCTCTTCTTAGAATCAGTTATTCTGAGATGTTTTTTTATCTTGAAGACTCATGCTTTTATCTTCTTTTACAGATAAGTAAGAAAGATCTTCTTAGTCTTAATAGAATTTATCAATACTTGAAGCTTTAAGATTCTTACTCTGTACTGCTTAAGTATCTGAGCTTCTTGTCAGAGCTGATATGATATCTTCTTATAGAGTAGATAATACTTACAGAGAGATAGAAGTCATTATTATAGATGTAACAGAAATAATAAGAGTGAAAGAAGAGATAAGTGTATAAGATTTCTCTCTTCTTCAGCTACTTAATGTAGTACAGACAAGTGACAGTGCTGATCAGAAGTTATATCAGAGCCTCTTCATAAGAAGAAGATAAAGAAACTGCAGAACTCTGCAGACTCAACTCAGCAGTATTCTGAGCAGAGCTCAGATATGTCATAAAAGAGAAACTACAGACTGAGCTTCTCAGAGTCACTGTCTCTGAAATCAAGCTCTCTCTGAGATTCTCTCTGAATGATCACATGGGGTCATACACCACTGTATTGATTGAGGGGGGGGGCGGCGTCGCAATGACGGCGGGGGGGGCAGAGAAAGAATCAGACACAGACAAACCAACTGGCAGAGGAGACAATGTCCCACTGCAAGGCATGGTGACTACTGCCGCGGCCGCAAGAGAAGCAGAAGGAGGAGGAGAAGAAGGTGTGGCAATGAGAGCAGTGCTCCCGCGGCTCATTGACATCACCACCTCCACCTTCAACCTGGCTTTCTTAGCGGTCATGGAGGCTGCAGCCGCATCATGAAGATGTTTATTACTCACTAGAAAATGTCAGAATAAGCCTCTTATTGTCTCTCAAGAATGATGCTCTCATACACTCACTATTACAGATAAGAAGAGAAGAGAAAAATATATCATAAGAGAGAGAAATCTTTTCAGAAAAAATCCTATTACTACTGTTAGCTTTGTCTCTAAAACACACTACTTTTGCAGAGAATTTCATATATAGAATGAAATATATTAAGAGATCTATAAGTCACTTATTAACTATATTTTTCATATTTTAAATCAATATATAAGAAACTCACTTATTATATATTTGATTTAAATGAAGATGAGAAAAGAAAGATCTACACAGTCAGTAGAAAAACTCATCTATTTCTTTATATTATACACAGTACATGTACTGTTAATCAGTTAATAACTGTTATTATATAACAAAGATAATTTCTAATTCAGTAATCTTAAAAATATAGAGACTATACTCTTAAAGAGAAGAGTATTATTATACTCTCAGCTATGTCAAGACTTTGTTATAATTTTATACAGTTTATTACTTTTATATAGATAATTTTATCTTATCTGAATCAGTTTTCAATTACTTAATAATATTATTCAGATATATTATAGAAAGATCTGATTAATGAATATAAGAATCTCACTTCTATATAAGATTAGTAGATTACTCTTTCTTAATAATAAGACACTGCTGAGATATCACTTCAGCTATTCTCACTTATAAAATAAGAGAAGAGTATTCACTTATTATCTATATAGAATAGCTAGATACTTACTTCTTATCAAAGAAGTCAGTAATTTGTTTTTCTTCTACTGAAATATATACAAGAGTTACTATGTGTCTCATACAATCTTCTTAGTATACTAAATATCATATCTGTAATATTCTTGTAATAACTCTGTAGTCTACAAGCTTGCTATTTAAGTAAGATAGTCAAGCTCACTTATACAGCTTCTTAAATAACTACTCTTATATAATATCACTGACTAGTCACTGCTTCAGTTCTGTCATGTTACAGATGAAATCATCCGCATGAAAGTGATGAGCCGTGTGGAACCGTAACAGGGCCTTGGCGCGGCCGGGAGTGTGATAATAAGTTCAGTTCTTATTAATGTAATAACATATAACTCTTATAAATGTAAGATTATTTATACTAGTTTATACATTCACTGTGAGAGATACTCTTCAATGATTCTTCAACTCTGATTCTAGATATTGTATATTAACTTTATAGTGTATCTCAAGATTGAACTGAATACATAATTAATATGAAATATGAAGATTTGAATTAAGTATTTAAAGAAGTGTTTGAAATTCAGAGTTTTCAATTGATTAAAGAGAAAGATTCAGAAATATATATATATAAAATAATTATTCATAAAAGTTATCAGATGAGAGTTATGAAATCAGAGTACTAATATATAATTATTTTCACATGATTTTCTTCAAATTAGAAAGTTAATGTTACTAAAAATCATTATTTAATAGAGTAATTTATCAGCTCAGTAGTAATTTTCTAATTATTTTTCTTTTATTATCTATATTCTGATAACTTCAGATGTTAGAAAATTTTATCAGAGCTATAATCAGTTTATAATGAATATTTCTGAATAAAGTTACAGTAATTACAGTAGAGAGATAACTCTTCAGTAATCTTTAATATAATCTGTGAATAATTATTTCATAGTTCATCTCAATATTTGTATTGAGTTTTTCATAAATTTCATGACCTGAAATCAGATGTGAAGAATGAAGTGATTATTTATTATAATTGAAAGAGAGTATTCTGTGTTGAATTATAAATAATATAGACTTTGTAATTCACAGTAATTTCTTAAAGAGTTTATAAATCTTTAATAGAAGTGAAAGAAATAAAAGATGTGAATTCAGAAGATATAATAAAGATTTGAGAATAATAATACTTTATTTTTAATAAAGATAATAACTGATCACTGATGTGTATAAGAAGAATTATTATAAAGAAAAATAATCTTCTTTCTTAGCTTAGTTATAATTTTAGTACTAACTCAGATTAAATATTATTAATATATAAAAGTAAATAAATAATCTGAATTAATCTCTATCATATTTCTTGAAATATATTAATATTGTGAAAGAGAGTATTATCAAATTATATTATCAGATAATATCATTAAAAATATATTATTATTATAAATATCAATATTGAAAAAATGTTAATACTTATACATTATAGTGATTTGTGAATCATGATAGTTAAATATATATATATATATTATTTCTGATATTGATTACAACTTGTACAATAATTTTTGAAAACTCAAAATTAATTTCAATTATTAATAATTATGAACTTATAACTAACTAATATAAAAAGAGAAAAACTTTTTCTACTTATTATCTTTCTTCTCTTTCTCATTCTTCTTATCATTCTTTATAATTTATTTCTTATTTTTATTCTTCTTCTTCTTCTTCTTCTCATCTGAGATAATAATTATTTCAAAATCTCTCTTCACTGTCTTCTCAGAGAAGAGTTCTCACTGCTTCTCTCTAGTCAGATCAATCTGTGTCTCAAAATCCTGTATTTTCTGATTTGCTGTCTTGAGTTTCATCTCAGCAGTAAGTAGATTTATATACTTAGAGAGCAGAGCTGTCTTCTCAATATTCTGAATTATGAAGTGTATTTGAGACTTGAATAAGATCTTAATCTTCTTCTTCTCTATCAGCTTCTACTAATTAATTAGAGAATAGAAGTATTATTAAAAATTATTATCTCTTAATAAATAAAAAACTTATCAGTTTTAACTTCTTTATCTTCTACTTTAATACTCTCTTAATCTTCTTCTGCTACTGCTTATTTATAGTAATACTCTTCTTCTCTCTCTCTCTCTTTATCTTGACTTCAAATCATTCTCAGAATTTCTTCTGATCTCACTACTACTATATAAGACTCTTCACTGTCTTCTTTTTCAATCTCTCACAGATGATGTCATTCACATTATTTCTATACTTAGTTCAGTCTAAATCTATCAGAAGTATTACTTAAAATTATTATTATTCTACTTTCTTACAGAGTCTTATTAAGATATTATAATATATCTTATAATCTGTCTTCTCTCACTTGAACATCTTCTTCTTCTCTTTCTTTAATCTGTGACAGTACTCACATATCTTAATGATTCACAGAACTGCAGAATATTTGAAGAAGAATAATATTATTAATTTCAGTGAGTATTGAAGAGAGATGAAGACAGAAGAGATAGTCAGAAATAATATAATAATAATAATAATAATAATACTAATGATAATAATAATAATAATGATAATAATAATAATAATAATGAAAGAGAGAGTGCATTGAAATATATTACTGACTTATTAAATATAAAGAGACTCAAAGAAAATATTAATAGCTTTCAGAGATGTACAGAAACAGCTATAGTATTACATAGTAATATTATCTTTATTTAATACATATACTATTAATATTCTTTATATACAGTTATCATATAATCTGTATCAAAAATACATATAGAAAACAGATCTTTGTTACTAGAGTAAATAATTACAGTAATTCTCTGTTTTTATATTATAAAGATAAGTTATTCTCATTTCTTTCTTCTCTCTTTTCTCTTCTTCAGTCAATCACTAATTTCAAGCTGATATGAAAACTATTAAAACACTCTCAGAAACTCTCAAATTGAAGAGTATAGACTAATTAAATTTTAAATATAAAAGAAATTAAATTATCTTCTATAGATTTAATTACTCACTTCTCTCTTAAATAAAACAGTAGTTGCATCTCTCTCTCTCTCTTCTCAACTGAATAAAACATAGCCCGCGAAAAGTGAGTATCATGTCAGATTATAATAATCAACACAGCCTCAGTACACAGAGCTGTATATATATAGTATATACTGAACTGAGAGACTGCATGAATTGCAAATCAGTGACAGTATTTCAGAGAGAGTTATGTAATGTGAAAAAGCTGCAACTCTCAGTTACATATATAGAGAGTGAATCACTGTAGTAAGTGTATACATATTGTATAAAAGTAATACTTTTTGATAACACTCAGTCTCTGATATTATCAAAATAGAGTCTCTCTGTGAGATTCATTTTTATCAGAAGTTAGAGTATCTTATACTTCTCAAGATTATCTTCACATATCTTATCTGTGAAATTAATAAGAGAAATCATCAATTTCAGTATTCTACTCTTAATATTATTTAAGTAGCAGCAGAGTTCACTCTGATCACACTTTTTAAGTGTATATTTTCTAATTATTCACATTTATACAGATATATACTGATTATTTATTAGATAATATTAAGATAATTACTTATCACAGCTGTGTTACTCTCACTATAAGAGATACACAGTTAATAATGAATATTATAAAAACTCTGAAGAGTGAGTATTTTAGAGATACTATAACTCTATAATCTTAATTTTTTTTATTTTCTTTTTTATTTTTTTCTTTTTCTTTTATTTTTTTTTTTTTTCTTTCTCTTTTTTTTTTATTGTGATTTTTTCTTGTTTTTATTTTATTTTTTATTTTTTTATTTTTTTTATATTTTTTATTTTTTTTATAATTAAAATTATATAAATTATAATCTGTGTTTAGAAAAGTAATGATATTTAATTATACTCTCTATTAAATTTTCAACAAATAAGCACTATGTTATAATATTATGTAAGTGAGAAATGATTTTATAATCTTATTTAATATCATTCTTAATAATGAGATCAGAATGAAAATGTGACTAAGAATTCAAATATATTCTTTATCTAAAACTAGATTTTTATTTGAAAAGTGAATCTGAAACCTTTAATATTTGAAATAATATGATTTAAAATTAATATAATGAATATAAATCATAATTAGAAGTAATACTTTTAGATAATATAATAACTGTAAAGTTTGATTCTGATCTCAGACATAATTACATAATCAGTCTACACTTTCTTCACTTACTGCACTCACACTGAGTTTTTTTAATATTGTGAGAAGCAGAGTGACTGAT